TGAGAACATTTTCAAAAAAATCAAAGCAGGCAACGGCAGGTAGAGTTGTCATAGAAGTCTTGCTGGTGGTGCTGTGCACTTGCTTTAGATGGTGCCTAACACTCCAGTTGCCCTGGAGTTACTCCTCACTTTCCCCCTCACCCATATCAGCATAGTGCCATAGTGTGCCTATGTGAGAACTGCTAGATACAGAGGATAGAGTATCACTCTGATCACAGCTCCTTGTTAAGCTGGGGTAGCACTCACATACAGATGGCTTTTTCTCTCTCACCACTATGGCTTTTGTGGCAAATGTCCACCAGAGACATTATGAAAATTGCAGTGCTTTTTCTGACTCTCTCAGAAATCAGTCTATTGTCCAGGCAAAATAGGGACTCACTCAGATGCTGTCTCCTCTCAGATGCTGTCTCTTTCCCGCTTTGAAAGAATTAATAATGCCATTTTTATCCACAGATATGAATCTCTGTATTTTAAAATGTTGCAAGTGGCTAAAAACTACAAGGTTTGGGTCCCTGACCACAGTTACAACTGCACCAAGAAAAAGATCCCAACGTTTTCTTTTTAGTTAATGGAAACATGTATTTTACAAATTACGAATACTGCAGCAGTACTACTGAAGATTGCATCCTGTCACTTATAAATTGTGTTAAACTTCATAACAGCTTTGCTTTTACTGTTTCTTATGACGGCATGACATTTAGTTGCTGAAGTGAAAAAACAAGTTGTCAGTATATAGCTTGCCCACGAGGTCTTCTGGGAATATCAGGATGGACTACTGGTGTATACTGGCCCTGAATACTGAGTGCTGGGGATTGCTACACTAGATTGCCACTGCCATTACTAGCTGCTAGGCACATTCCCTAGATGGGGTTGTGCCATAGATACAGCTGTTCTCGCTGTCCAGTGCAGTGTTACAGGAGGCAGGGAGACAAAAGCACCTAATCTCCTGGAGAGACATCTCCCTCTGGCTGGCATCATGCTGGATCAGCTGCCTAAAAGCTGTCTGTCAAACACCCTAAGGAAGGTCAATACCACCTTTCAGAACACTGGACCTCACCATTTAGAACGCTCTTGAAAGAAGGCTTAAATTCAGCTCCTTCACTGGCATTCAGGGTATTTAAACATATTTTTCCAAAAGATCATCCTCATCACTACGCACTGAACTTCCCAGAAGTTCAAGGAGACAATGAAAGCAAAGGCCACCATGTGACAAGGAGGTAACCTGGCTGGGGGGCTCCATGGTAAAAACACACCCTCCCATTTTTCACCACAAGCATGAGAGAGACTGGTTCATAGACCCTGATGGGGACCTAATGCCTAAGTCCTTTAAAGAGGCATCCATTAGTAAAATTGACAAAAATGACCAAATACGTGAGTGTCATAAACTGCCCACTACCCAGCCATAGGGCACTTCTGTTCATTACACTGTGTATCTATCTACTTGCACAATGGGACACTTCTACCCCCTTGTATGTCTGACTCTTGAGATATCAAATTAACTTCTGAATATGTGATTTGGCATCTTCACTCATCTATAGGTACTTCTGAAAATGTTGTCAAGGGAGACTGCACTAAATAGTCTGAAATCTCAATAAAAGGCATACGAAGTTTACAGTGAATGGAGGAGAAAGTCAGATGAGAGAATTGCAGCTTTGGTGTAGCCTAAAAAACCAGCCCAATGCAGATGTCTCTAGGGCTTCCATTTTTCTTAAACGTGAGGATCTAACACTTATAAGCCTTAGGCTGAAAAGGTGGGTTTTCGGAGGAAATGAAAGAGAGATGCATGGAAAGTCAGGGAGCAGTGTCAAACGTAACTGTGGAATGGAAGCAAAGTAGAAGAATTTAGAAATCAAACCACAAAGACGGAACCATCAAAACCCCTAGAAAACAATCAGATTCAAATCTTGAAAAAATAAGCGATTTAATAAAAAAGAAGGAAGTGGACATTTTTCTCTCTTTATCCCTTAAATAACCAAAGAAGCATCATAACAATGCTAAGACTCCCTGTAGAACTTAAATCAGGGGCTGTAAATTGGTGGTCTGACAGCAGTAATACGCTTTATTTCACAGATTATCCTGGCACAAGTATTCTGGTCAGGTAATTAATTCACATGCTGAACACTTGACCCAAATTTTTAGGGGTAATCCTCTTGGTAATCTTCTAAATACCTCCAGGAAGAAATGTGTAGCAGGGATTTCAATACCTGTACTTCTTTAGTAGTTGGGCCATAAGATTAAATGTCCTGGCCACACTAATCCTCATTAATAAGAAAGCATTTTATACTGAGACCCACATTGACGTGTGTGTGTTCCAGGTGAGTGCACTTGAAGCCCATTTTATTAATGTATTTCTTCTTTACTCCCCATAACATTCACTGCTACAGTGCTGGCATTTTTATCTACCTCCAAGTTTTTCCCTGACACTACATCCTTCTGTATCAAGACTACACACACTAAGTGCGCTTAATCTGCTCTGAGTAAGGCATGTAAAAAGTTGGACATCTGGTTCTGAGCTAGGCCCCCTGCGAATCCTCTATGGGCAGCAGAGAAATAAAGGCATCTCCAAGGGATGATTCATCCCACTGGAAGAGCACCATGAGGTCGGTCTGATGACTCATCCCCTGGAGATGCTTATTTTTCTCTGCTGACTACTGCAAACAAAGCCCAGAATGGTCAGCTCAGAATTGGACATCTGACCTAGTTCATGACAGACAAATGCCACGTGGTATTTTAGAGGTACTTTAATATTTATGTCAAATGGCCACACAGCTGCAGCATTACACTAGACTTTTGGATCTTTACTGCGGAACAGCAGAAGTGTTATTTTTGCCACTCTGCAGAATTTAATAGATCACACACACCTATTTTTGACATTTAATATTTTCAAATTCTTCTTCATAAAGCAAGTGACATATAACAGATTAGACAAGGCTGTGGGTAAACAATGGAAAAGGATGCATGAAAACCTCAGATCAATTCAAATACAGGAAAATTCTTGAGAAAGGGAAGCTCATTTCACAGTCTCCATGTTTAGCAATCTTAAGCATATACACATGTTAAGCAGAAACATTATCCATCTGTTTGTAGCAAGTTTGCAGAGCATTTCAATAAGACACACTAATGCTAAGAATGGCCAATGTTTATGATGTCTATAAAATAACCAACGTAGAGCATCTGGAAAGCTCATAAAATTTGTTCTTATAAAATCTACAGAGTGTAACACCCTTCCCTGATCCTATTTTTTTGCTGACCTTGTCCTCCTAGGCCAGATCTGTCAGAAACTCTCTTCTTTCAGGCATAGCTGTGACTGTGGCTCTGCGAAACTCATGTACTGAAACCAGACTTATTTCTGTTTTCGTAAGTTCATCATTCAGCACATCGTTGGAACAAACCAGATAGCCAAAACTGCAAGTTTCCACCTGAAACTACAGGGATCTCTATTTCCAAGTGACAGATGTTCTACAACAGTTGGTGACAAATGGGCTAATTTAGACTGATTTAACTAAAGTTCTGCCTGCTGACAGTGGGGGATTTTTTTTTAATGCAGCTGAAGAAGGCATTTCTGAGCACTAGGGCTGGCTGCTGCACACAGAACTACAGAGGCCCTGGTGTGAACTGAACAGCATGGCCATGCGTGGTGCCTGCGTCTCTGCTCCTCACACTGCCTTTTAGATGCTGAGATGGAAGACGGCATTGACTAGCAAATCACAAAGGGACTTAGCTGGTCTTTAAAATTTACCCACTGAACATATGTCCTCAGAAATAAAATACCTTTGGCCCAAAATCTTTCTTCATAAATTCATGTATCTAAGCTCTAAACAGAAGGACATTTAATTAGTGCACTGTGGTGAACTGGTCTTCTGGGATGCTAAGCTCTCCATCAGATATGCAGGAAGCTTCCAGGGGCTGACCTCCTAACCAAGGCAAGCCCATCCAAATTTATGCTTTCAGCGCTAACTTCTGAAGGATTACCACTAAGGGACCAGAAAAATATTGCATAAAAGCATTTAGGGCTTACTTCTTAACGTAAAGATTAGGAGTGTGATTCAGAAATTACAGTGTAACAAGTGCATTGCCCTCCATCTGGAGAATTGTCTTGGTTTTTGCTTTTAACTTGCCTATGAGAGCTGACTTCAGGCTCCACCCTTCTGAGTACTATAAAGCCTCTTGCTTGAGCAGCCATGAGTAGACATATTAAAAACCAGCAACAATGAAATTGGTTGTTCTTGTCTTTATTTTTTTCTCCTGTCTTTTCATATTTTCTTTTTTCTCCTCTCTCTTTTTTCCTCTCCTCTCCTCTCTTCTCTTTCCTTCCATTTGAAGAACACTTCTAGATAAGTATCCCAATTATTGTTTTTTGAAGGAACCTCATTAAGGTAACTCCGTTGATTATATTTCTGTATTAAGAAAATAGCTGCCAGCACTAAATATTTAAGGCAGTTTATATGCCAAATTAATATTGGCATTATATCAGCCAAGCAGTCCTGACGCCAGCAGCAGTACAGCGTATTCTTCTACTGTGGGGGTGGCCTGTACACTGTGAATATGGCCTTAAAAGTTGCTGAATCTTTCTTCCTTTTACCTAAACCCAGACTAAAAATATAAGCTAATTGTCCTCTATTCTGTAAGTGGCCTATTAAACTAGCTGCAACACACAGGCTACGTATCACTTCTCTCCACATAGTCATGATTGCTCAGAGCAGGGAGGCTTCAGTCTGGTCCGTTCCTGAAGCGTTATGTCTACGCAACAGTAGACATTATGCACAGAGCATGTCTTTGTCTATTAATGAAAAAACTACTGAAACTTTGCTCACCTTGAGAAATAAGCTCTTAGGAATGGTCCTTGTTCCTCCAAATTGCCATAGAGTATGGAATAGGATATGAAGTAGAATATGACTGCATTGCAACTACTTACCCCCAAACAAACAAAATAATAAAAAAACTACTACCACCACCACCACTATCACTACAACAACAGTGGACAAAAAGGAGTTACTTACATTGAGTGAGGATCCCTGTTAAGGCATTTTTGAAACTCTCCTTGGCTTGCTCCATTTCTTGCTCATGAGCAGCCTTTTCATTCATGAGCCGGCGAACATGGCTGTTGGCTGACTGCACCATCGAATAAAACTGGTTTGCAGAGCGACGATTCACCTCACCTCGCTCAATCCAGGTAAGCAGCACTGTGATGGCCTCTGAAAACTTGCTATCATCTAGAACAATCAGAGCACAGGTTTTAAACTGCAGGCATAAATATCCTGCCAAGAACACATTTTCTGCTCTGTGTCACATTAAAATCACCATAAATCCTGCCTGCAGTATATCATTTTCGGCAACTTTTGGGACTTTGTTCTATCAGATGTAAGAAGCCCATACTGCACATGAAGCTGCATAAATCTTCCTTCAAGACTTGTCTCCTGCTTATTTTAATAGCTTTCTCACAACAAAAAGCACTCCCTCCCCCTTTTCCTGTGGCCTGACTTTTTGCTTTCACAATGTCTCCCGTAAGCCATTCAGTGATATGGAATGACCTTATGGTGGGAGGGAGGAGACCCCTATGTTACTGGACCCCACTGAAGGAAGGAAATGTGTCCACGTTAATCTGCTCATCCAAAAGCTCAGTCTTGGAGCTTGAGCTCAGCTGTACTTTTGTCAACAGATTTCACTAACATCACATTTTTAATTAATGAACAATGACAAGGCTGAACAACTCCTCCTCAAAGCACTGATTAATTACAAGAAACTGCTTTGAACAGATGATGTGTCTGTATTTGTTTCATATGATTTTTCTGTATTTTGTTTTACATATTTTTTTTAAAGGATTCCAGCCGAATCCAGGCAAACACCTGGATTACAGCTTTATGGTTACAGGTAACTGAAGTTGTACTTCTCTGCAGAAAGATTGGCAAAACTGGTGGCTAGATTTTGTGCTCTCCCTCCCCAAATAATCTTCTTTCCTCTGACAGTGCTCTCAGCTTCCTCAGAAGACTCTTAGCACAGCATCTATTACACTTCTGCCTTCATCAGGATTAAGAGGACACACTTCTTTTTAAGCCCCATTCAGGCTGAACTGCAAGAAAATATTATTACAACAGAGTGTCTTCCTGTGGAACCATTTTTGTGCAATTTGGTCTTATTTTTACCCCAGGATTTTATTCTATAAAATTTCCATTTCCCAATAAATCATTTTAAACATCTCACCTAGTCCTTCTTGGTTAGATTTTTTTATACATATTTTAGATGGTAGGTATGCCTCTCTATAGGAGAAGCTAGCAGTTACGGTGGGAAGAAGTAGTATAGTTATAACCAGAAGACATTTAAAATGAAACTTGGAAAATACTAAACCCAACCAACTGTGTTACAGGGTATGGAAATGTGGGACACAGTTTGTAAGACTCTGCTTTCCACATACAAAGAACAATGAAATACTAATTCTTAAGTGATGTTTTGGGCTTCTATTCTGAGTCAGTAATCACTTTCCTAAAAGGCAAGAAGCCTATGGCACAGAGAGAACTAGCGACATGCTCTGTGCCCACAGCCTGTGAAGCATACATTTTACATTGCCTAATCTTTAGCATCTTAATAAGTGAAACATGCTTTCAGCTACAGCAATAGGCTTTGCTCTCCACAGCTGGAGAGGCATGTTTGCCTAAGACCTCTGGAAAGAACTGCAAAATAAGAACATCATATCATCCTTCCTTGAACAACAATATATCTGTTGTGACGTTATATTAACATGTGATTCATCACCATAATTCATTAAATAATTGTCTCTGAGGAGAGGGAGTCAGAAGGGCATATTTTCTTCCATATTGTCCCCTTGGATTGGACTCCACTTCCAAGCTTTTCTGGATACATATGTGGCAGATACGTATTAAGTGGGTCTGATGAGTGAGGTTGGCAGAATATGGGCCTCAGAAAAGCCAAATGTAAACGAGACTTGTGCAAAGCCTCTTCATTGCAAGAAAACACTAGGATTAAGGTCTCCAAAAGGCTTGAGCAAAATCTTCAGCCTGCTGAAATGCATGGGAGCTGAATGTCATGGATCCAGTACAGCCAAGAACTCATCCCTGCAACATAATGTTTATTATAATTACAGTAGTCAGTAAGAATAACCTGCAATGGCTTCTGGCAATGTTATCATGCAATTTCCAACATTCTGTACAGTCAGGTCACTCTGTGGATGGCACCAGCCTGCTAACACCAAGGATGTGCTTGATCGCGAGTAGAGAGTAACTACAGATGAATGTTCCTCTTTTTTCCTTGTAGACATCATTGTAGATCATCACATATAATTTATCACCCAACACTGAAGTACCATTTAGAGTCAATTATTCCATTCAATCTAGGTCAAGACATGAACAGCAAAGTTGGGAGAAATGATGCACAGAAGCACTCCGAAGAGGTACACTGTGACCTGTGAAAAAACTGTGTGCAGCACTGAGCAAAAATGTTTCACGGAGGTGCATGAGGAAAACCAATTGCACAAAAACATTCTCCTTTTTCATTTCTTTAATCTCTCCCCAGTAAATATCTGTGTGTTGTTTTGCTATATTAAAACACCCATTTGCTTTTATCAGGCAAAGTTGGTATACGTAAGGGATGTTCATAAACACGCCTTCCTTCTGCCACATAGATTCGACCCATGCTGTCATGCCCATGTGTTCAACACACTATACTTCCAGGGAGCTGCAGAGGTCTGTGGGCCTGTTATAGTTAATTCATGGCTCTGTACTAGCAGGAAAAAATAAATCCTTTCATTGGTAAACATCAGTATCTTCATTGACTACATAATTAGAAGATGCATTAAAGAATGCTAGAGGGTAATACATGCACAACAGGGGCACATTAGTTTATAAAATCTTTTCTCTACAATTTTAAAATTTCCTTCTTTTACCTTCATTTTTAACTTCTATATTCTTGAGTTGACTACTCAGTGACTGGCATAAGGTAACTCACCGTGAACTGATTTTCTTCATCCAGATTGCAGTGACTCTTTCTGAGCAATGAGAGGTTCATTTAGAAAATCAGATTTTTATACCAGATTGTTCATTTATTTTTTATTTAGTAGATAAATAGAAGAAGAAATGCAGCAATGGAATCTAATTTAAGCAGAGCATGAACTACCTTATGATTGCAGCCATTCATTAAAAAAATAAAACAAAACTCCTAATTCTGTTCAAAATTATTTCCTTGCAGTAGGATGCACATAAATATACAGTGTTTAAAAACATACCCTTAAAATAAATTTGTTTATATAAAACATGCTCCCATATGTAATTGTTCTTTTAAAATGAGCACATGACAAATTATTTCTCACACCTAAAGCTTTTTTCTCCTTCAAGTTACAGCATGTTTTAAGCAAATAAGGCAGGATTCATCTCCTTCATGTCAACATCTGATTTAGTAACCCCAGGTTCCTGGCACATTCAATTGGAAGAGATGGACACTTGTTGGACAGGCTTCACCAGTCCTCTTCTAGCTGTGTATTAGAGGGTGAGGTGAACTGTGCCCCAGAAGTGCCTGCTTCAAATGGCTGTAAAGGGAGTCTGGGGTGACCTGTTCATATATAGACATCTCTGATACAGACATCTACATTTAGTCAGAGTAATCCCAACTGTTACACAAGTACACCAGATACAGCCACCTACCCAGCATTTGTGTACTTGTGTTGGATTTTCAGTTTTACTGCAAGCTGTGATGCATGCTATATTGTTTTAATATTACCCATCTATTGAGGATGGCTTGCTAGGTGTTTGTCGACAGATTTCTGGGTGCTGCTAGACTCAAGCACAGCTCTTAGAGATAAGATATTTCAAATTTCTCTTATATCAGCTAAAGATATTTGGTGCTTAAATTCTAGCTTCCAACTTAGATGAAATGAAATATAAAAGAAAGAAAATGCACCCCTGAACTGCCTGGCAAATTGTCAACAGGGATATTTCTACATTTTAAAAAAAAAAAAAAAAAACAAAACCCAATAATTGTTGACAAATGTTTTGCAGTTTTCTGCTTATAATTTGACCAACTTTAAGCAACTCCAAGTGGAATGAACTTTTTAATAGAAGAAGCTATGACAAGAACTGCTACAAAACGGTGTACTGGGAAAAAGTGTTGAAAACGGAGTTTTTACTTTCAGTTTATGGAGTTTCCTTGCTGTAACACAGGGCAGAATTCAGCTCAGAGTAATCTGAAATATTGCGACTATTTATCTCTCAGTGTAGGCACCTCCATAAGGTGCTTTCACAACTTGGATAATGGTGTCTAAGGTCTTAGCCATTAGAAAGGAAATAGACTAATCCATCACCGTAAAGCTAGGCACTGAAACACTCATTACTGTCATTTTTACATTTATAGATATATTGAAAATATAGCTAACTTTATATTTCTGTATTTTGAGAGTGACATTGTATCCTGGACCTCTAGATAGGACAAGATCAAGCACTGGGCTACAGTTGCTTTTAGCCTTGTTAGTATCTTCCCAACTCTGGGCTTTCTCAAATGTTTGAAAAGTATCTGAGATGATTCATACAACACTTGAGACTTATAGTGTTGTTTGAATCAACAAATCACAGCAATCCTTCTATGTTGTCCTACAGGCCATGGTGTTGTCCAGAGCCAGCACATACTCTATCTCTTGCCCCTAATCTTGCTCCCCTAATACAATCTCCTAGGCGTGCAAGGGGATGCTGGAAAGAGAGAGCTAGTGCTCTTTATCCTAATGACTACACCTAGAAAGGTCCTATGCTGGTTGCATATGTTTTGGCTTCCATTAATGATATCATTTTTCTCTGTCCCTCCTAGAAGGTGGGAAGGGGCTGGTGTGTCTTTATGCTAAGCTCTGACCTGACCAGTAGAAATCCAGTCAACAAACACCCCTCAAAGGTATCCTTGTGAGAACTGAGAATGACAGTGCTGCAGGGTGTGTAACAGGGGATAAGCCGTGGGATATGACTCATCTGTTTGCCTCTGATTGACAGCCTGTCCTCTGTCAGCTGTAGCTGTGCCATAGGAAGATGCTGTGTCCCCTGCGTCAACCCCAGCTGCTCAGAACTACCCCTTTGCTCATGGCTACACTGCCTTCAAGGCTGCCTCAAGCTGCTCGCTGATCACACTGCAGTTCCAGTTTTTCAAACTGAGACCAGTTCAGCTATTATAGGAAAGTGGTAGAAGCCAGTTTGAGATGCAAACTCCACAGAACCGCAGCCAAATG